ATAGCGTGTGATGTTACCACAGCACAGTGCAGCAGATAAGAAGTGCTGATAGCGTTAATGGACTTGACCGCTGGGGGGTACTTGAGGAAGGGAGAGGGAGTGGTGGAGGGGATGGGGAGGATCAAGAGGTCAGAGGCAAATTAAACTGGGGGGGGGGGACCGCCAGAGTGCAACCGTGTGCACGCGAACGGGTTTTTTTCAGGGAGATGAAGAATTTAACGGGTCAAAGCCCTTAAACCAGCAGCATTCAGTAGCAGGAACGAGCTCATTCTCAACTTAAAAGGGTTTGCAGGGAATTTTTAAAAACCCAATTATTTTGATGCAATCTCTTAATTAGATTTTTTTGCTCCCTCATTGTGTAATTATTACGCAGAGGCCGGCTCTAAGAACGTGTTTTTCCATTAAAATGACCAAAACCAACAGGGCATGATTATCTCAACTGAACCAGTCATTTATCAACTAAAGCGTGCACATCAGTGGAGCAACAAGAATGGACATATTTGGGACTTAATATACTTATATATTGTTCTAGGCAAAAAAACAACTGAAATTTTATTTGATCAAGATAATTCTTGGGCTTTATAGCCAACATTCACTTACACACACTCAGGATCACTACACACTCTTTGATCAGAGTACGTGATGATTGATTAGCACAAGAACACAAAGGTCCTTTATACAGGAAGGACGACATGTGCCTATTTCCTGCTTGATACATGCATCATTATTGTTAGGATTCTCATTCCATTCATAGCTAAAACTACTTGTATGTTGACTTTCATGTGGCAAAAATAGCCCTCGTCAGTCGTTTTCATGGCTTTGTATTTTAAAAGCTTGTATTGATTGCTTATTGATATTTAAACACACTGTAGCGGTCGATTACAGGAGCTGCGTGGCTAGATCATGCTTGGAGTGTGTGCTGCATTGTTGTGTGAGCACTAGCCAGTGTGCTAGTGGAGCAGACAGGAGGCTATTCTCAGCAGGCCTGGGAGCGCGCTGCTGCTGTGAGTCAACATGTGAGTCAGGGCGCGAGAGTTGTTCGGTCCTAATGTCAAATAAAAAAGGGGACCGGACGCAGAGGCAAAAAGGTAGAGACGGCACATCATCTATGCAGGCGTCACGGTGCTCATTGTGTCTGGTTTAGAGGAGTACCAACTCGCCCTAGTTTGAATGTTTGGCTTAATCGCGTCGTCTTTGCTCATGAAACGAAACATCTTTTCCATACTGAAAACAGAGACTGCAAGGAGGTTACGGTGTGAAAGCTGTTGGTGCACTGGAGGCAAGTTGATGTTTTGCTGGCGCTGTGTGAAAACTGATGTAAACAGCCATATTCAGTGGCCAGCTGATGGTAGGATTTGCTGTAACTAAGGTCAGCAGAAGAATTTCTTCCATCCCGGTGTACTGTTGGCACTGAGCCCGGCGCTGTCGAGGCTGCGCTGTTGAATACTGTAGGTGTGCGTGCCAACAGATTGTATTGGTTACACACCGTGGTCAAATTGACACTGATTCTGTTGCTTTAACTGAGACTGAATGGCGGGTGGAGGGGGGGGGGGGGGGGGCTGTGCCGCGTAGAGGACTCCAGTGTGTCACTCCCTGTGAGAGAGTTTATTGCCCTTTTGGCAGGTGAAAAACATCCCTGTGTTTTCTTAGTGGACAGCGACCAGGAAGCCTTACATTTATGATCCCATCCAGTAGTTGAGGCGGAGGTGTGTGTGTGTGCGTGGATGTGTGTGTGTGTGTGTAATGAACCATGTCTACTGAGAGCAGCAAACGGGGGACCAAGATATATACGAGAAGGGGGTTTGTTGAGGTTCGTTTGTGTGAACACATACAGAAACAAACACACACAGTGTGTGTGTAACAAAAAAAAAATTGACCATTAATTTCACTGCTTTTGTTGAGATTTACGGCGCGGAGAGAAATCATGATCACAGGAGCGGCATCACCAAGGATACTGGGCTCAGGATCAGCCCTCACGTAAACACAGTCCATTAACTCACACTGTTCACATGTTGTTCCTAGTGAACTAAGCGCAAGCTCGTCGATTCTGCTCATCTCTAATAAAACCTCTGAGGCAGCTTTTAACAGAGAGAAACTGTGCACATACATACAGTGTGTATGTGCTTCTATAGAAAGAGGAGAAAAGGCACATGAAGAGGGTGATGATGAGAACATGTGTGCCTTTACGCTGCAGGTACAGTCTGAGGAAAGAAGTGAGGATAAAGGATGCTTTCTTAAAAACGAGGAGACCGATGTTAGATGAAAAAAATAAGTAGTTTCGGGGTTACAGGGAGCGTTCTGGGATTTCATCTTTTTCTAGGACGGAGAATGTGCATCTGGGTGTAGACATTTTGGTGACAAAATGGCCTCCCGCATTGCTGGAGACATTCGAGTAAGGAGGCAGCGAGGAAAGACAGACAAGCGGAAGAGAATTAACCGAGGTTGATGGCGAGGGCTCCACATTATCTATGACACCCTGATTTAAGATGGCAGAGGATGGCAGCGCTAGATTGGGAAGGAGGACGCGTAAAGAGGGAAGTGGGCAAAAAAAAAAAAAAAAAAAGAAAAAAGAAAGGGGGCGAGGATGGGGAACAAGCAAAGAGGATAATTGAAAAGGTGATTGCAATAGATAAGAAGCCCCCTCTATCTGACACATTAAGGGGAGGGCTCTTTAGTAACTGTGGGCTCATGAATTTACACTGATGCGGACTCCAAGATGACAAGCGGTGTGCTAATGTCAAAGACTTGCTGAGGGGGAAACGTGCGCTGCAGAGCACCGAACGGCACAAGAAAGCAACGTCGAGATGAAAAGCTCCGACGAGCTGCGGAGAGCATCCACGGGCTGGAACAAGGTTCTTATGCGGCGGCAGAATTATTCAGCCGCTGCAGCAAACTGCCGTGCGCGCGTCTGTGTGTGTGTGTGTGTGTGTGCGCGTGCAGGTGGGTCAGCAGCGATCTTTAAAAGATCAAACGAATCAATAGCCGACCCCGGTTAGCAGTGGACAAGTAAAGGCTCACTGCATTGTGGGTGGTGAAGTCGTTTGTACCATTTAGCAAAAAGGGGCATTTTGGAATGCATCAGGCTTTTGTTTGATTACTTCATCTAAGCGGAATAAGATGCGGATGTCCAGCCGCTGATCCCAGACACACGTTTTAACGGATTCTAAATGAATGAAAAGTGCTTTGTACAGCACAGCTCTTACTTTAAAAGAAAAGGATGCCGGGTGGCAGATCTGAGACAGCAGCAGAACAGTCGGACTGTTTGTAAAAAATTTAGCTCATTCCTTTTTTTCCCTTTAATTCAGACTTCAAACGCGTTTCGGTTAGACTTCAGAATAAAGAGAAGAAGAGTACGTGCTGTGAAGTGGTCTGGGTCTGTGTCTGTGTGTGTGTGTGTGTGTGGTGGAGGAGATACATTTGTTTTAAAATCATGGTAATTTGCATACACACTGCAGTTGAGTTACTGTCCGATGTCCGAGTAGGTTTTTTGGTCACGTCTTCAGATGGGACAACACCCGAAGTACAGATGTGTTACTGCCAGTACAGATGTGTTACTGCGAGCCGTCTATGTGAGCTGGTGTGGGAGTCACTGCAGGTGAACCTGTGCCAGGCTAACTATGCCACCTCCGCATAGAAAATGATCAAAGCGTACGCCACGCTGGGGAGAAAACAAAATAAAAAAGCAAAGAGAATTTTAATCCAGTAGCTGCTTTTCATGTCAGACAACTAGACAACACTTTTTAAACTTTGTGATCCTGGAGAGCTGCACTGGGACGAACTTCAGTATAATTCATTGAAGACAGAGAATAGAAATGACAAATACAAAGAACTTTTAATTAAACTGTGCACATGTATACATACGGGGAAGGACTTAAGGGCAACCGAAGAAAAGAAAACAACATTACATTAAACCAATGATGGCCAGCATGTCTAAAGCTACAGATCACGTGTAGTGGTTTGGGCATCAGGGATGATTTATTCGACACACTTTATTCTTATTTTTAAAAAAAGCTCAATTGCTCTACGAGCAATAATGGTTCCAGGAGCTGTGTTTGGCCTTTCAGAACCAAGAACTTTCTGACGAGGGGTGAATCAGAGCTGCTGTGCGGCCCCAGGCTGAGCGCAACCTCGTCGGCCCGGCTGATATCAGAGTACCTGCCCAACGGGGGAGCCAATAATTAAGACATGGAGTTCTACTGCTCTTCCTCCCCTCGACACTCCGGTCCTGTTTAATTAGCTGGAGTGAGGGACAAGACGCATCAGAGATGCGTACGCGCGAGCGGCCTCCTGTCTGTCCATCAATTACAGTTTTGTTGCTGCAAAATGACTTCAAACCAAGTTGCGAGCCATAGCTGGAGATGTACTGTAAGAGTGTAAACACGAGGGATTAGTGAGAGGAAAACTAATACAAGTAAGTGGTATCATGCAACAGTGATATGAGGAGCAGGAACCCTACAGAGTTACTGCTCTAGTGGGAGATTAATACTACGAAGTACGCCGCTCATGGGATGAGTATTGAGAGTAAGCAGGAGATGGAAGGAAGCACAGAAAAGGGGAGGCGACAAGGAAAGGTGGCTCAAGTTTAATGACTGGAGGAACAGAGGAGGAACAGAGGAGGCTCGGGGTAGAGGAGACTTGGCAAGCAGTCGCCCTCCCACTCTGTTGGCAGCGGAGGCACAAACTGTTTGCTCACAGCAGTACATGCATCTATTAGTATTGTTCCAGGAGATAATAACTGTGTGTGAGATTGTGTGCGTGTGTGTGCGCGCGATTGGGTGTCAATTCTTAGCCAAAAGTGGAACACGAGTTGCTACGGGGTGTCAGACGAAACAATATGGC